TGTCTCTATCATGAAAAATGTGAACTGTTCAAAGGTTAAGAAAATGTCTTTTTTAAAAAAATGTTTATACTCCTAGCACAGAGCCTGGCACATTATAGACTCTGAGGAAATGTTGGTTCAGTTAAAGGCACTGAATTACTTCCTGTTCTATTTCAATTAGTTTTGTTTGGTAACCACTTACTCAAATAATCAAAAATATGTCTGAATAGCACCTACATGCCATTTCTTACCAAAACAGTTATTTTAGATTCTTAATGTTAATTTAAAGAAGTATTTAGAATTTTACATTATATATTTTCGGTCTCTAATTTCTTTGCTTTACTAGAACCAACAGATGACTCAGAAAGTTAATCTTTATGTGTTTACTGTGGAAAAAATGTTAAATGTTGATTGACCGCTGGCCTTTTCCCCTGGACATAGTAATATCCATTCTTAACAGCTTTGGCTCTATACTGCTTGATTCACTTGTCACCAGTTCATTGCAAAGTTGCCACATAAACTCTACTTAAGTGGAAGGTGTGGATCCACTAGGCTTTTTTTGAGAAGTATCTTGCTCTAAAAAGCAACTGTTGAGATGCTGATGGTGAGAGTGATGTCATGTGTATAGATACAGATTCATCTTCTGAAGACATGCATTTCTTTTAATTTTGGAAGGTACAGTTTTTTAGGCAAAAGGACGGGAGGAGAGAAACAATTTGATGATTCAAATTTAAAACGGGAAAGACACTCCTATATGTCATATTTTGGCAGGCAGGGACAGAGGGATCAATGCACCTTTCACATTTTCCCAAGGTGAGAATTGTACTAACTTTAAGGTAAACTGGGAGAAGGCATTAGTTGATAGAATATGTTTTTAGAGTAATAAATTTTTAGCAGGGCTGAGTAAGCATTTTTCCATGTTAATCATTGAAGGGAAACGAAAATAATAATTTTTTTGACCAAGAATAGAACTGAAAATTGTGCCACTGTCACCAGCATCTAAAGAAAGTTATAAAGTAAGTCTGTGATTATATTTGAGTCTCAAGCATCTTACTGTTAAAACATATTGGAAACAACCTGGTATTACCTCATCTTATAAAAACAAAGAAAAAAACCTATCATCTCTTAACAAAATTTCCACTCCAGCCTGGTTTCTCTGCTTCTTTTTAGAGCAAAAGTCCACAAAAGAGTTACCTACACTTGCAGTCTCTAATTCCTCTTTGTATCTCTCATATACGTACCCTTCTCAGGTTTTTGCCACTCCGCATCCCACCGAAGTTGCTCTCATCAAGGTCAACAAAGACCCTCAGGTGCTAAATTCAATTCTCAGTACTCATCTTACTTGACTTATTAGCAGCATTTTACACAGCCGATAATTCATGTTTCCTGAAATCTCTTTCTTCACTTAGCTCCCAGGACACCACACTTTCCTGGATTTCTTTCTGTATTTCTCTGTGTCTTTTCTCTCTCCAATTTTTAGTTTGTCTTACTTATTATCCTGTCGTCTTAATGTTGGCTTGGTCTGGAACTCAGACTTTAGACAGCCTCCTCTCTATTCTTCCTACTTTGCTGATCTCCTGTGCCTCATGGCTTAAATATTATCCAGTGTCAACAACTGCCAAATTTGTATCTTTGTCTCAGAGCTCTCCCACGATTTCAGGACCATATATCCAGCTGACTGTGAAAAATCTGTTCATAGGCTGGGCACGGTGGCTCATGCCTGTAATTTCAGGACTTTGGGAGGCTGAGGTGGGTGGACAATGAGGTCAAGAGATTGAAACCATCCTGACAAACATGGCGAAACCCTGTCTCTGCTAAAAATACAAAAATTAGCTGGGTGTGGTGGCACACGCCTGTAGTTCTAGCTACTCAGGAGGCTGAGGCAGGAGAATCACCTGAACCCTGGAGGCGGAATTGCAGTGAGCCGAGATTGTGCCACTGCACTCCAGCCTGGCAACAGAGTGAGACTCTGTCTCAAAAAGAAAAGAAAAATCTATTCAGATGTCTAATAGATATTTCAAAATTAACATGTCCAAAAATGGATTCTTACTCTTGTCCTCCCCACAAATGTGCTTCACTCACATACCCTGTATCAGTTAAGGACAACTTCAAATTTCTACTTGCTCAGGCCAAAAATCTTAGGATCATTTTTGCCTACTTTCATTCTCTTAGGTTATATTCACTCTATCAGAATGCACCTTGACTCGACCTTCAAAATATATACAGAGTTTTGCCACTTCTTAAAATCTCTGCTTCTCCCTGGATCTAACCTATTGATATCCCTCATTGGGATTATTGTAATAGTTTCCTAACCAGTCACTCATTTTTATACCTGTCCCTCTCCAGCGTATTCTCAAACAGCATTGTGAGGGGTCTTGTTAAACCGTAACCCAGAGCAGATCATTCTTCAACTTAAAATGCAAGGGCTTTCTGTGTTTTCAGAACCAAGCCCTTACAATGACTTTTATGACTCTGCTAGGCCCCTTTACTTCTCAGATGTCTTCTGCAACACTTTACTCCGATCACATTGGGCTTCTCACTTTTCCTTGAACCTTCCAGATGCTTTCCCACATCAGGACCTTTGAACTAGCTTTTCGCTTTTCCTGAAATGCAATTCCTCCAGATAACATACATGGTATGGCTCTACCTATATTGCTCTTCAAGTCTTTCCTCACTTGTCACCTCTTCAATGAGGCCTATTCCAAGTAAGACATTTAAATTTGCAACCTCTTTGCCGGTGTACTCCAAATGTACATTACTCTTGGTCAATTTTTTTTCCTGCAGTTCTTTTTACCTTTTAATATTTTTTATATATGGCAGAAATAATGGTTTGTCCAGCTGAGTAGATTGCTAGGCTATAGTCTCAGTCCTCTTGCATTTGGGTGGGACATGTGACTCATTTTTGCCAATGGAATGTATGAGGAAGTGAGGTATATCATCTCCAGGCCAAGATCTTTAAGTGCAGGTGTTCCTTTTCCATGTTCATTTCTTTTCTTCGTGTCTTGGCCAGATGCAGATGATTAGTGGGAGCCACTAAAAGGAAGGAGCCTAACTTTCTGAATCATAGTGCAGAAGGATGTCCATAGAGCACCTAGTTAGACTATGATCTGAGGAAGAAAGCAATCTTTATTTCTGTCCTATTGTTATGTTCAGCCTCTACTCTGATTAGTTAATGCCTGTGCTGATGTAAAACGCTTCATCACTGATAGGCATACAAATGGATAGTGTATTCTCTTGAAGCAGTGGGCTAGGTAATAGCTGTTAGTGGAGGGGAGTGGCAATAAATAAGATATGGATATTGTAGGCATGGTAAACAATTTTGACAGTTTCCTTAAATGAATTCAATAAAGATCGTTATGTCTTCAAGATTATGAGAATTGACTATAATTTGGGCTAGTTTGTCTGAAATTTATATCTTAACTTGCAAACTTGAAGAAATTCAAAGATATTTTCTTTTTTTAAATTATTGTAGATGTTTATAAGCAAGCATTTAACTTAAACAGTTATTCTTGTCAATATAAGTTTAAACAAAACTCTAATGAATACATGCCTTGTTTTCTTAGCCATGGCAATTTTCGTAGCCATGACATGCATGCTAACATGTGATCTATACCCTGCAGAGTCACAACTGAATCTTAGCTGGGAACAGATTGTGTCAGATAGGATACTGCAGCGAAAGAAAAAGAGAAGGCTCTACATTCCTGAACAGATGGAGTAGTAGATCTTAGAGGCAGACATGAAGCTGAATTCCAGGCAAGGCAGATATCTTAGATAATGAGATAGAACAAGAGAGAAAGATCTCTGACCCTACTATTGATGTCAGAGTCAGAAATTGGGAGCCAATTATTGTATTTATGGTTCTAGAAACTAAGTACCTTTTCAGGTAAAAGGAGAAGAGTTCAGGTGGTACTGAAGGTTTGAGTGATGGTGGCAGGGAGAGAGCAGACATTTTTGCCATTACTACCCAGTAAGTGCCACCAAAACGCTTTATTAATAAATGAAAGGGTTGAGTAAGCAGTCAAGTTTAATTTATGGATTTAAACATCGTTAATAAACAAACTTCAGCTATTTAATGTGTTAAAATATGTTTGATTATACCTTGGTAATAATCTGAACATAAATTTTATAACATCAACTTGCTCTTGTTTTTGTGAACCAATTTTTTAAAATGAACAGTACATATAATGACATCTTGGAATACAAAGTAAATATATTATTTGTGCGAAAGCCACTTAATTAACAGTAACTTAAAATCAATTTTTTTTTTTTTAAAAAAGACAGCATTATTTTAAGAGAGATATGCATTATCCCTGTGTGCCCAGAGCTACCAACACTTAGTGTGCATGTAAGTGACCATGAGTGTGAATATTTTTAAAGTCCATGGGCCGAGCATGTTTCTTCAAAATGCAGAAAATTAGAATTTTCATATGTAATCCCATGTGCTTGACTTTCTAGAACAGGAAATTACGGTTTGTTTCTAAATTGAACAGTTAGGAAAAAATCTGGATTATATAACTGCTGATTTTGTGTTGAAATGGACATTTGTTTCAAGAAAAACTCATTGCCCACAACCACAGTGATTAGGATTCAATGCCCAAGTGTATGACACTTTATTAGTAAGAATGAGGGATGAGCAAAGTTGTAGTTACTCATTTTTGCCCTGTTGGATCTAGTTGTGTTTTGGTGGTAGCCTGGAAGCAGTGTTGACCGTCAGCCTGCTTGCTGAAGATATGATGGCTGATGTCACTGGCCTTTTATCAGGTTTCTTCATATTGTGTCCATATTACCCTCTCGCAATCCATAGGCAGGATGTGAGTGTTTTGATGAATGGTTCAGAGGTTGTTCACTTTTGATCTTACGTTTAAAGGGAATCAAAGCAAGTATCTTAAGGAGATCACACTGTAGTTACTACCCTAGCTAGTGCCACATTTGGTAACACTATGTGAAAGGATAATGTTTTCAGAATTTTGTTTTTAAAAAAGATTTCTCTCTCCCTGTTATTTTCCCTTTTTTTAATGCAGGTAAAATATTAGCTGTTTCCTTTCCTCAGAAAAGGTTTATGGAAGATCATAAATATAAAAATAATAGCTAAAATGTATTGGAACACCTTCTACATGCCAGGGGCTTTAGTAAGCATTTACAGATGGGAACACTTAATTCTCACAGCATCCCCTGAGGTAGGTACCATTGTAATTTCCATTGTTCAGGTGAGAGTGTAAAGCTGCAGCAGCTACATTATGACTCTGCAAAGCAGAAATTGCTGTCTAGCACTTTCCTTTCTAGCAAGGTATATTAGTTCATTCTTGCATTGCTATAAAGAAATACCTGAGATTGGGTAATTTTTAAAGAAAAGAGGTTTAATTGGCTCACAGTTTCTGCAGGCTGTACAAGAAGCATGGTAGTATCTGTTTCAGGGGAGGCCTCAGGGAACTTACAATCATGGCGGAAGGGAAACCCATTCATGAGAACTCCACTCCCATGATCCAGTCACCTCCCACTAGGTCCCACCTCCAAATTACGGATTACAATTCGATGTGAGATTTAAGTGAAGACAGACATCCAAACCATATCATGAGGTTTCTAAAAGCCAAAGTCCCTTGAGAAGATTAAAACTGATGTCCTGGAAATAGAGAAGAATGGAAGTGGCTCTAAGAGAAAAACAAGATAGAAGAGGATTTTAATTTTTTTTTTTTTTGAGACGGAGTCTTGCTCTGTCGTCAGGCTGGAGTGCAGTGGTGCAATCTCGGCTCACTGCAACCTCCGCCTCCTGGGTTAAAGCGATTCTTCCGCCTCAGCCTCCCGAGTAGCTGGGACCACAGTGATGGGCCACCACGCCCGGCTAATTGTTTTGTATTTTTAGTAGAGACAGGGTTTCACCGTGTTGGCCAGGATGGTCTCAATCTCTTGACCTCCTAATCCACCAGCCTCGGCCTCCCAAAGTGCTGGGATTACAGGCGTGAGGATTTTTTTAATAAATATATATTTTATTGCATTTTAGGTTTTGGGGTACATGTGAAGAACATGCAAGATTGTTGCATAGGTACATACATGGCAATGTGCTTTGCTGCCTTCCTCCCCATCACCTATATCTGGCATTTCTCCCCATGTTATTCCTCCCCAACTCCCCACGCCCCACTGTCCCTCCCTAGTCCCCTAGTTCCCCCTCACAGACCCCAGCGTGTGATGCTCTGCTCCCTGTATCCATGTATTCTCATTGTTCAACAGCCGCCTATGAGTGAGAACATGCGGTGTTTGATTTTCTGCTCTTGTGTCAGTTTGATGAGAATGATGGTTTCCAGGTTCATCCATGTCCCTACAAAGGACATGAACTCATTGTTTTTGATGGCTGGTTAGTATTCCATGGTGCATATGTGCCACGTTATCCCTGTCCAGTCTATCATTGATGGGCATTTGGGTTGGTTCCTAGTCTTTGCTATTGTAAACAGTGCTGCAGTGAACATTCGTGTGCATGTGTCCTTATAATAGAACAATTTATAATCCTTTGGATATATATCCAGTAATGGGATTGCTGGGTCAAATGGAATTTCTATTTCTAGGTCCTTGAGGAATCACCACACTGTGTTCCACAATGGCTGAACTAATTTACACTCCCACCAACAGTGTAAAAGTGTTCCTATTTCTCCACATCCTCTCCAGCATCTGTTGTCTCCAGATTTTTTAGTTATCGCCATTCTAACTGACGTTGAGAAGGTATCTCAATGTGGTTTTGATTTGCATTTTTCTGATGACCAGTGATGAACATTTTTTCATATGTTTGTTGGCCTCATGTATGTCTTCTTTTGAAAAGTGTCTGTTCATATCCCTTGCCCACTTTTGAATGGGTTTGTTTGTTTGTTGTAAATCTTGTAAATCTGTTTTCATTCTTTGTAGATTCCGGATATCAGCCCTTTGTCAGATGGGTAGATTGCAAAATTTTTTCCCATTCTGTTGGTTGCCGATTCACTCTAATGACTGTTTCTTTTGCTGTGCAGAAGCTCTGGAGTTTGATTAGGTCCCATTTGTCTGTTTTGGCTTTTGTTGCGAATGCTTTTGGTGTTTTAGTCATGAAGTCCTTACCTATGCCTATGTCCTGAATGGTTTTGCCTAGATTTTCTTCTAGGGTTTTTATGGTGTTAGGTCTTATGTTTAAGTCTAATCTATCTGGAGTTAATTTTAGTGTAAGGTGTCAGAAAGGGGTCCAGTTTCTGCTTTCTGCTCATGGCTAGCCAGTTTTTCCAACACCATTTATTAAACAGGGAATCCTTTCCCCATTGCTTGTTTTTGTCAGGTTTGTCAAAGAATAGAGGCCTCGGAGGCATCTACATCCATCTGATCTTTGAGGAGGATTTTTTGGTGGCCAAAGTGAGACCAGGAAAAGAAGAGAGATTTGTGGATCTCAGGAGAAGCAAGAACTTGCCATTTGCTTCCTGAGCAGGAATTAGTAATCTATGGAAGGGTTAGAAAATACATGCAGCTTATGGGCCAAGCCCAGTTGGTTGACTGTTTTTTATAAATAAATTTTGTTGGAACACAGCTATGCTCTTTTTTTACATATTGTATGTAGCTGCTTTCACCCTACAATGGCAGAGTTGAGAAATTGCCATAGAGACCATATGGCTTACACAAAGCCAGACATATTTACTATCTTGACCTTTAGAAAAAATGGTTACCAACCTTGGTTCTGTAATGTTGCTGTCATCATATCTATTTTAGGTGAGGCTACTTTACATCAATCTGATACTCACAAATTATTTTCCTGTGTTGTGTGACTCTATTAAAACTCATGTAGTATTCTAAGAGTTGTGGGCTAAGCTAATTCTTGAACAGATTTTTGTGGTTTAATATCATTTAAAAATTAAACTTTATTTTGATTTCTAGATATATGTCTTTCATTTGCTAGAAGTAAAACAAAATTAATTTTTCTAAGTACATGTACTTAATAATGGTTTATTTTTAATGCACATTTTGGAAAGTGTAACTTTATTTTTTTTTTAACATTGTCTATTGCATACCTCTTCTTTTCTATCAAGCAATTATTACTTTTTTTCCCCCGACCCCAGTTTCACTGATTCACCCTCCCTTGCAACAATTTAAAATAGTGCCAAGGAAAGTTGCTTGTTCCTGTCTTGAATCTGTCAAGCTGTTAACTAGTTTCTTCTCAGGTGTCTGCTGAAGATGAAGCAGGTTTTCAACAACTGTTTCAGGGACTATTTGGTGAAGTTTGCATCATTATTTTCAGCTACAAGAGGGTCCTGGCCAACAAGAGGTAATACTTTTGTTCCTTGTGCTCTAAATATTTTGCCAAATTGCCATCTTCATATAGATTAGTAACTCCACATTTATTTGGTACAGGCAACAGAGGCCATAGAACAATTTATGATCTAAACGCAACTTGAAATAGCAGAATTGCTGTTAGTGCTTAGAAATTAATTTAGAAACCACTGTCTGTTAGTGTAATGATTTACTATTGGTTTTGATCCATGTTTTGGAACTTAAGAGTGTTAATTAAGAATTATGGCATAGGCCAAATAGAATCTGGTAAAGTTTCATGTTGAAGCAAAACAATCAGTTATAAAATTATTTTGAATATAATAGACATTTTCGTATTTACAGATTAAGTTGTGATTGATACTATTTAATGTTTGAGGATGTGAATCACACTATCACCACATATTATTCTATAATTTGTATTGTCTAAGAGATGAATGTGTACATCTTTTATGAATTTTTAAAAAATTAACAAGAAAAATATACCAAGTTAGAAGCACTTGAATGGATTCAGGATTGAAGTAAGCTTTAAAGAGGATAATTTTGTAAATCAGAAAAAGAGTGGTGATTTTTAAGGGTTGATTTGAAAAAGTATCAAATAAACAAAAATTAATCACGATGAAAAAGTGAAGATTCATAGGGTGTTTAAAAAATGTGGTCTCTCTCAGAACAGTGTATCCCTGAAGCAAAGCTCAAAAATGTTTCCCCTAGGGAGCTACCTGAAAATTCCTACTAAAAGCAGTGATAGTGATGATAATGGCCATTAATATTTTACAGCATTTTCCAGATTATGATGCCATTTCTCAAAATGTAGCTCATTTGATTTTTTGTGGTATCTCTGTAAGGTATCTTGATTCTCTGAATTTCTTTAGTTATACTTGCCTCTGTTCCTCTCAGTGGTGCTTTATCAGGGATGTATGTCCGTGTCAGATAGGATTCCAATTCAGGAAGTACATCTGAGATTTAGCCTCCCCTACCTTTTTAAAATCCCCTTCCTAGGTGATTCTAACACATAACATCAGGATAACTTGTATAACTATTTAATATGCTGACTTGCTTATATTTGTTTTCAAGTTTGATTTTTCTAGCTAGGCAACAATTATTTAATGATTTATATTTAATTATTTAATGAATTAAGGTTATCCAAAACAAAACAGATTCATAAAATAAGAGTTATTTTACACATACAGAAGCGTATCACTTAGAAATTAAAACTTGACAGTAAAATATTATTAAAAATCTCATTTGACAAGAATTGAATTTGCTCCAGTTAATTTAACAACTCTTTAAAAGTAGTAGGTAGACAGCATTGTGTTAGCTGATGCAATGGCTTCCGAGCTGAGTAAAACATGATTCTTGCTCTGAAAAAGCTTGCAATGCAAGAGGTGAGATAAAACAAAGCAGAATATTATTACAAGAAGACATTCTCTAGTTAAATGAGAATTATTACAGTTAGCATAATTAGGCTGTCAATGACCAAAGAAATCAGAATGCAGCATCATCCACCCAATACCCCAAATCCATTGCATGATTGGTAATATTCTTCTGAAGCCTGTTGAAGAGGGATGATCTCTCCCTCTCCTCTAATGTGTTGGAAATCAGGAGAGCCTGCCTGTAGTGGGAGAGGAGCAGACACACTAAAAACTGAAAAATACAATGGTGTGTAAGGAAAGTGCAGATTACAAATGAAGGGGGGGTCTGAGGCAAGTTTAAGTGGACAAATGAGAGTTAAAAGACAAGAAGAACAAGTTGATTGAAAATGGGACAAAATTTGTGACTAACTCTGCCCAGGTTTATGTGTGCTCCCGGAAAATGTTTGTAGCCAGTAGCCTAGGTGCATTTAAAAGGGTTGTGACAGGTGGCTACTTAGAAAGAAGTACCAAAATGGTATTAATGTATGGTTAGTTGG